CCCTCTCGGCTCTTCGGACCATTGTCTGATCCAGAGTGTGGTGCCACTCACGCTCCCTTCGCGGTTGCGTTCTGCAGGTTGCCACCGTGTTTGGCATTACAGGTCGGCGGATTGGGACGGAATGCGGTCCTTCTTTGCATCCTACCCATGGGGGCGGGTTTGCTTCTCGCCGGATGATCCCAGCGCTGTTGCTGACTCTGTCACTGATGTGGTGCTACAGGGAATGGAACTATTTATTCCATCATCTGTGGTACCCATCGGAGGCAGATCTCAGCCTTGGTTTGGTCGCTCCTGTAAGACTGCATTACGCAGTAAGCAGGAGTGTTATCAAGCCTGGGCTGCGGCTTCGGCGACTCGGGATGTAAATACCAGCACACTTAAAAAGAAGTATAACTTCGCCTCCAGGTCCTTCAAAAGAGTTATTGCCAAGGCAAAGTCAGAGCACATAGGCAGAATTGGCGAGAAACTAGTTCGCCTTCCTTCGGGAACCCGTGCATTCTGGTCTCTCGCCAAGGCTGTCCAAGGGAATTTCTGTAAGCCATCACTACCATCTCTGCACAGGGAGGATGACTCACTGGCCCATGACGCAAAAGACAAAGCCGACCTTTTAGGCTCCCTTTTTGCGTCCAACTCGACTCTTGATGACGGGGGGAAAACACCGCCGACCATCCCGCGGTGTGAGTGCTCCATGCCGGATGTGCTATTCTCACAGCGCTCGGTTCGCAAAGCACTGCTCTCCCTGGACATCCAGAAGTCAAGTGGACCTGACGGAATCCCCCCAATTGTGCTGAGGACGTGTGCTCCGGAGTTGGCACCGGTCCTAACGCGTCTTTTCCGGTACTCCTACTCCCAAGGCGTAGTCCCGAATTCATGGAAGACAGCTTTTGTCCACCCGATCCCTAAAAAAGGCGACCGCTCAGACCCATCCAACTATAGGCCTATCGCGATCACCTCCTTGTTCTCCAAAATAATGGAATCCATTATTAACTGCCAGCTCATCAGTGAGGATCACCAGCTGATTAGTGACCGCCAATACGGTTTTCGTCGGGGTCGATCAGCTGGTGATCTTCTGGTCTACCTGACCCATAGATGGGCGGAGGCAGTAGAGTCCAAGGGGGAGGCGTTGGCCGTTAGTCTGGACATTGCGAAGGCCTTCGATCGGGTTTGGCACAAAGCGCTTCTTTCGAAGCTCCCTTCCTATGGGCTTCCCGAGAAATTGTGCAATTGGATCACCAGCTTCCTTGTAGATCGGAGCATCAAGGTCGTTGTAGACGGTGCATGCTCTGACTACAAGCCTATTAACGCTGGTGTTCCACAAGGCTGTGTGCTATCACCAACGCTGTTTCTTCTGCATATCAATGATATGTTGCTAACTGGTAACATTCATTGCTATGCGGATGACAGCACTGGTGATGCTCTATACACCGGCCGTGCCAATATTTCTGGGGAAAACGTCGCTGAGTGCCGGAACAAACTTGTGTCTGAAGTCGAGTCTTTGCTGAACAAAGTCTCGGATTGGGGGCGACTAAATCTAGTCCAATTTAATCCTCAGAAGACACAAGTTTGCGCGTTTACCGCTAAAAAGAACCCCTTTGTCGTATCTCCTCAGTTTCAAGGCACTCCCCTTCTTGCCTCAGCCAGTATCGGTATCCTCGGAGTCGACATATCGAGTGACGTGCAGTTTCGTGGTCACTTGGAAGGGAAGGCCAAATTGGACTCTAAAAAGCTTGGCGTGCTCAGCAGAGCGGGACAGTATTTCATGCCGGCACACCGCCTGCTACTTTACAAGGCGCAAGTTCGGCCTCACATGGAATACTGTTCCCATCTCTGGGCAGGGGCTCCCCAGTGCCAGCTCCTTCCACTTGACCGCATCCAACGCAGAGCGGCTTGAATTGTCGATGACCGAGCCCTTTCCGATCGGCTCGATTCATTGGCACTGCGAAGAGATGTTGCATCCCTTTGCATTTTCTTTCGCATCTACCATGGGGAGTGCTCTGAGGAATTGTTCGGATTAATCCCAGCCGCCAAATTTCACGAACGCACATCGCGGCAGAACTCCCGATACCATCCACACCATCTGGATGATTGGCGGTCCACCACTGTGCGATTTAGAAGATGTTTTCTTCCTCGCACGACCTCCTTGTGGAATCGATTACCATCAGCGATTTTTCCGGACCGATACGACTTAGGGACCTTCAAGAAAAGAGCGTACTCCTTTTTAAAAGGCCGGCAACGCATCTGCGATTCCCCTGGTGTTGCAGTTGTTCATGGGCGGCGGTAGTCACTTACCATCAGGTGAGCCGCATGCTCGTTTGCCCCCTCTCCTATAAAAAAAAATTACTTTTACTAAGGAACCCGCCTCTTAAACGTATAAATTTGGTTTTATTAACATTTTGGACTTATTAATACATTTTATACATTTTTAACCATGGTGCAAATAATTTGAATATAAATTCAAGAAGGATGCAGTTTTATCATATTGCAAGAGTACCCAATTCTAATTATTTGAAGTTATATCGAGGTTATAAGGTGAGCGATTCTTACCTATTTTTTATTTATAAACTACAAAGATGTAGTTTAAACAATTAATATTTTTGAGATTTAAAATACGTGCGTCAGTATTTTTTTGTATATATATAATATATATACACTCCAAATCGTAGGCTGGTGTAGGGGGGCTAGATAGTCTTCCTTACCTCTACCAACGCGTAGTGTTTCTATATAGTTTGTGCCTCTACCCTCTATAAGTGTAACCACAGATTACTATATACTATAGTACTACAGTTTGGATTTTTAGCGGGAGCTTGACCGTTGGCGGGTTGTTGCTCCAGTTTTATCGTTTATTTAATAGTCTGAAATGGGTTTTGATACATTAAAGTGGTGCGATTTGTGTATTAAGTATCTGCGCATGTAAACTATTAATGGGAACGGCGAAATAAGTGCTTCGATTTTGATTTAAACCTCAACTTATTTTGTTCCTTTAGATACCCTATGAACTTAAGATACTTTCATTATCGACTATCCGTATGCTCCCAAGAACTTTTCAATGTGTCATATCAGCATATTGTAAAGAAGATTTTTAAATATCGATTGAAATGAAGATATGGGTTAAAGAACAAGCATTCAAGCCAAAAATCGTAAAATAATAATATATAAATGTAACCTGCGTGAACCTGTGCTAGTTAGCACACAGACTAATATGATAGGTACTTACGTGGCTACGAGCTTACCAGCCAGCACTTCATAATAGTTTGTTAAGTTCTATACCATCGATAATATACTGTATAGATATAGGGTATATGGCATTCTCATATACTCTCTCATATACTCTTTGGCAAAAAGTCTTTGCCTAAGTTTGACACCGACCACAGTTAATATACCTACTACTTAGCACTTACATAATAATTTATCTATTGTTATTGGTTACCATACTCTTTGCCGACCACTGATCACCGAGAAGCGAGAGTTCAGAATTTCAGTATATATAAAGGTACTCTGTGGCTCAGAAGCAGTGTTCTGTGCTCAGAAGGCAAAGAGTATAATCAGAAGTGCTACAACCCAGAGCCGTAAAGCTATTTAAAAAAAACGAGAAGCGTGAAGTAGGGATGGTCGATGTTGTAGAAACATCGATTATGACATCGATGTTGATATCGATAGTTCAACATCGATGTACGATGTTTATCCTACTCAAAACATCGACGTTGGCCATTATCGATGTTTTTTGGACATGTATTTAATATGTTAGAATTAGATGAATAAAAACTTGTTGTTGTTGGTTATGGTTTATAATTAATGAAATGAAATAAATTACTAAACAATGTAGTGGAAACAGTAATTTAAAAAAATTGGAAGAAGTTCACAAATATCTAGTTCATTTTTATATAGTGCAAAATTTTTGCCGATTGATTGAAGAAATAGTAATTTTGACGAAGGAGTACCTTTCAATCTGTTTCTCTGTTGATAAATAGTTGAGCCAGCTATTGAAAATAATTTAAAAATAAAAAATTTGTACAACTGGCTTCAATATAAATTATTAAGGATAACTCAAAAACTATTGTTCAGACTTATATAGGTCAAATTTATATGGGACCACATGACGAATCACCAGCTTTCAAATAAAAAAAATAATCATCGAAATCGATTCACCCAAAAAGAGTTATGAGGTAACATACATTAAAAAAAGAACATACAGTTTTCTTGACTTTTGATAACACAATTGCAGACTCAACGCCTCTTTCTACATTCAATTATAAAATATTATTAAGACATGTATCTGTTATATTAAAATAAATATACAAAGTATTATAAAGTGCCATCAAATTGGTTTTTGTTAAAATACATTAATTTGCAACAAAAAATATTCAACATTTTAGTGGTCCTTTTTGAAATCGGTAGATAACCGCTCAGATGGCGTTGATGTAGCGATTATGGTCAAATATCTCATCGCAAGTTTTTTTTTAATTTAGATTTTAGATTAGGTAGAATAAATAACATTGTTCTAAACGTGCATTGGATCGTGTTTAAGATCAACCATCGGTTTTTTTAAAAAATAACCGACAAAGAAACAGACAACCAATATCGACACCAATAACAAAACGAAATGAGTGACAACTGCGACATTACATTTGACACTTGAAAGTTAAATTTGATTCACTATAATAATATATTTTAAGGTTGATGCGTTCAAGCATTCTGAATTATTTAAAATTTTAAATATTTTAGAGGAGATGCAAGATTTAGTTGATATTGATTTCGCGGATTCGCAGTGTACGCAAGTACCCGATAACCGATTATGGGTTTATTGACATCGATGTTACGATGTTTGACACGTGGCAACATCGATGTTAAAACATCGATGTTTTCATTTTTGACTTGACATCAATGATCATCGAACACGAATATCGATGATCATCGATGTTCGATGAAGAGACCTTTAATTGAAAATAAACAGAATTACATAAATATTCCAAGTCATATTTTGTTAGCAAATATATTACGGGATGCATACAGATTTATCACCACACTTGCATACTGACGAATGTAATATTCTTATAAAAAAGTTACAAGATTGTCATGCAGAGGTTAGTGCGAGCCCATTTTAATTTATAAATCGCATATGATAAAGAATTCTTGTGGTTTTGCGTACTATGAATTCATTTTTTAAAACCATTATATGGGCTTAACGTAGTTGATAACATTTAATCCAAATGATAATTGGGTGTACGCTTATAAGGTCAGTTAAATATTGACGATTATAGGTTAATAAATCGGTATTCATTGTCTTGTTAAGTTTAATCATAAGGATTAGGCTGGCTTTTCACTATGGGATATAATATATATTATATCCCGAAATATAAATTATATCCCGCGATTGGCTTTCACACCGTGAGATTTATCTTTTAACCAGTGTGCGTTTGTTATTGGTCATTGGATTACCCCCCTTTACCCCGTACACCGTTTTGCGGGGGCGCGGAACGGTATGCGGGTACAGGGGGCGAAATATAATATGAAAATATCGGTCGGTCTATCGAAAAAATATTTATAGCTTGAGATGTAATATATATTATAGCTAAGTGTAAATGGTTCTATATGAAATGTATGGTGAGCGATATTAATTTATATCTCGAGATGTAATATATATTATATTATATCCCATAGTGGAAAGTGGGCTTTATTATAATATATGTATTTTAATTCTGATTTGCTGTAAACGCTAAATTTGTACACTTAAAAAAATATCTGTTGTAAAATTTCAGCATCCTTTTAGGAAATTTATAGGATACTGCAATGACTATGATCGTGATATGAGAAAGTGTTTAAAAGCAGAACGTTTGAGAAGACAAAAAGCAAATTACGAAGAATCACTCAAAAGGCACTCTGAAATTCGAGCACGAATACGTGCTCAAGAAAGAGCTCAGCAATTGTAAAGCAAATTTAAAAACACTATGGAGTATAACATCTTGGATTCAGTTGACTTAACAGATGTATCAAACTTTAAATCCTTTACTGACAGATATTTTAGTAAAAGATACATTTTAAATGTGGGTGGAAAAGAGAATAATGACATCATGCTTATGTTTCATTCAAATAGAATTACACTTCTAAGTCTTGCCCCCAGCCACTTCTTTTTTAAGAAGAATTGTGATTATAAAATAAATTTTAACGTACATAATATTGATAGATTGAGTAACACTGTAAAAGGTAAAGGTAAGAAAGGAGGCCAAATGTTGAATCCAAAGTCAGTAATATGTAAAATTGAATATGACGATGGCGCAAACTTTGATGTGCCTTGTGGCATGAAAGGAACACTTATTGAAATAAATGAAGAGTTAATTAAGGATCCTCAACTTCTAAAAAGTGAGCCAGATTCAACTGGTTTTATAGCTATAATCCTATCAAGTATTGCAATTTCAGATTCAATGAAAAATGAGCTTTTAACTCATGAGGAATATCTTAAAAGCTTAAAACTTTAAATGATTGTTGATTGTAATAGTTAGTAAAATATAAATTGTACAATAAAATTTTGAATATTATTAATTCCAGTAACACCAAATTAAATTATAGATTTAGATTTTATTTATTTTTAAGAAGTATAAGTATTTGTTATTAAAAAGAAAGGTATCCCTATGTGCATCCTGCAGCTGGGCAGAGTCCTCCAATGATTACTGAGAGGCATATAAAATTAACAGCATATGTTAAAAATCTGAACACCAATGTGTTTTAAATGGTGAAGAACTGAGCCCTGTTGAATACACTGGTTTTCTTTATTTTACTCTCATCACAAAGCTTCAGTGAGGCCTATATATCTAAACTAAAAAACAGACTGAGCTCTGCAGCTTTTGCTGTATAAAAGATGGAAATCTCAAGTGTCGAGACAGCTAATTTAGCTTATTTCAGTAATTTTCATAGCATTATGTCTTAAGTGATTCTATGGGATCTATTGGGGCCATAAGAGATTTACAAACTAAGTTAAAAAATTTTGTACAGCCGGCTTCAATATAAGTTATTAAGAATAACTCAAAAACTATTGGTCTGACCTTGATCAAATTCATATGGGACCACAAGAGAAGTACCAGCTTTCAAATAAAAAAAGAATCATCGAAATTGGTTCACCCAGTAAAAAGTTATGAGGTAACATGCATAAAAAAACACAGTCAAATTGAGTACCGTCCCATTTTTGCAAGTCAGCAGAAAATGTAATGTACCTATGTTCCCAAAAACAAAAAATTGATATACACTCTGTAAACACAAGAGGTAAACAATTGTAAAACTTATTTTACATTGTTTATTGTTACTGTGAAAAAAAAACATATTGCTGGGTTTCTTGCTGGTTCTTCCATAGACATGAGGTTTTTTTCCAAATCAGTGGTTAAAGTAAAATCTATGGTAAAATATTATAATAGGAATTATTTATATTCTTTATTGAATAAAATTTATTCCATTTTAATCTGTTCTCTGGTGTAATAATTAGATGGGGTTGACTATAGATGTCCGAGTCCGGTACATGATTTTAATTATGTTTTCAGTTTAGGAGGCTTGTCGGGGTTAAGCTTGAACCTTTTACACTGTTTTAGGATGTCGGGAATGCGTTTTGAATTAATTACGATAAAAATAAATTTCACTAAAAATTTATCATCATTACAGCCCTTCACAAGCTCACTGCTGAAAATAGGCCTCCCCCAAGGAATGCCACAAAGCACGGTCCGAGCCACCTGCATCCATTGACTTCCTGCATGTCTTACCAGGTCGTCACTCTATCTAGCGGGGGGACGCCCTACACTTCGCCTGCCGGTACAAGGCTGCCGCTCGAGAACCTTTCTTCCCCATCGGTTGTCGGTTCTTCGAGCTATTTGGCCGGCCCTTTGCCACTTCAGCATACTAATTCTTTGAGCTATGTCGGTTACTCTGGTTCTACTGCGGATATCGTCGTTTTTAAGTCTATCACACAGAGAAACGCCGAACATAGCCCTCTCCATAGCTCGCTGAGCGACTAGGCTTCCCTCATACGGCCTGCAGTGAAGACCGCGTCTCAGTTCCATAGGTCATCTACTGGCAACACGCACTGGTTTAACAATCTAGGTTTGGTATGTCTAACGAGAAGATGTATCGTAATCTCCCTAACGATGCCCAGCCGAGTTGAATCCGTCGATTGACCTCTCGGTCGAAGTATTTGTCCCAGGTAAACATATTCAACTACTATTCCATTACTATTTAATAACATTACAATTATCATACTATTTATTCCATTACTATTCAAGAACTTCGAGCTTAGTGCTCCCAACAACTACCGGCATAGGTGTGACATGGACGTTAAACATAATTTTTGCTTTGTCCGTTTTCATCTTAAGGCCTATCCGTTGGGAGACACTATTGAGGTCATTGAGCATAATGCTTAGGTCCTCCAGCGATTCTGCCATAAGGACTTTATTGTCGGCAAATCGAAGGTGTACTCACCATTGACGTTAATACCGTATCCTTTCCAGTCCAGTAGCTTAAAAACGTCTTCCAATGCAGCGGTGAAGAGTTTCGGGGATATAACGTCATCCTGTCTTAGTTGGATAAGTTTCGTGCTCTGGTTCTGTACTCGGATAGCCATCGTAGCCCTACGGCACAAATACTTCAGCACTTCGATACACCGGCAGTCCACTTGGCATCGCTGGAGGAACTACAGCACCGCCAAAATTTCGACGAAATAAGAGGCTTTCTCATAGTCCACATACGCAAGACAAAGTGGCAGATTGTACTCTTCGGTCTTCTGTACAATTTGCCGAAGGGTATGTATGTGGTCTATGCTGCTAAAGCCTTTTCGGAAACCAGCTTATTCGGGAGACTGGAAGTCGTCGAGTCTGCATGCGAGACGATTCGTAATGACTCGAAAACAGCACGTAGACGCGACTCAGAAGGGAAATCGGTCTGTAGTTCTTCAAGAGAGCGTTGTCGCCTTTCTTGAAGAACAAGACTTGCAAGCACTTCTTCTCCACGTCTCCGGAGCAGTACCTCCATGAAGAACGGAATTAAAGAGCTTCTAAAGGACTTCCACCCGCTTTCAGAAGCTCCGCTGTAATTCCATCCTCGCACGGGGACTTGCCGTTTTTAAGGTGTTGGAGAGCCATTCTAATCTCGCTCAGACTGACGTCCGGCATATCATCGAAATAGTGTCGGATAAGACTTGCTCTTGTATCGTTACCCACACTTGCGTGTGGCTCCAACGATGACGTGTACAGCTGCCCATAGAACCTCTCAATCTCACTCAAAATCTCAGGTGTCTCGGAAATGATGCTGCCACATTCGGTCTTCAGCTTCGACAGTTGGCACTTTCTGGCAGACAGATCTCTGGCAAAGACTTTGGAACCCTGGTTCTGCTTGATCGCTTCTTTACTACGAGCTGTATTAAAGTTGCGTAAGTCCCGTCGTATGTATTTGGACCTAATTTTGCGTTATAAGAACAGTGAAAAAAAATTGTTTTGTGAAGATCAGACCAGGATATCACAGAAGGTTGGGCAAACATGCTAAATGAATATCGTCCTTTCGGATGTGCGACTGCGACCCAATGGACTATCAGAATAGGATGGTTAAATTTTAGTAAAGGTAGCATAAGAAAGTTGGATTGCCTCAACTCTTTCGCTGTCTCGTGCACTAGATATAGGTCATTGCTATTGTCTTACTATTGTGTCTGAAAACCGGACAGTGAAAGTGTTCAGCCAAAAAAGTGAAAACCGTTAAATAAATACCAAGGAAACATAACCGACCGCAATAGATACTAGCATTTTCTATATAATAACAAATCATTCTATATTATATCGAATATATTTTACTTTATTTTTAATCTTGAATTTAATGAAATTGAATAATTTCCTTGTATAAACATAAATATCTCTAATAGTCTTTTTAAAGATGGCAAATCTAGTTACTAGTGAATATTGGCCACTCCTTAAGGGGTCCATCACTGCTAGCCATGGGCCTCCATGTGAGATGGAGAGTGGATGGACTTCAATCGATTGGTTGAAAGGCGCGTTGATATGTAATTTCATCAGGTCATTACAAGATGATTTGCGTTTAACGTTGTGATATTATGCTCTTTGGTTTACCACTATCAACTTGTCTTCTGACCTATTTCGATCACGGCGACAATTTCTAAATATTTTCGAAATCTATCAATAGTGCAGAAGACATTATAGAGCAGTGATACAGCAAGAGCTCTGAGACCTCATATTTTTGACTGCTGCAACTAATCGATTTAAAGCAACACCGGAATATATAGATGCAAACTTAAGGATCACCTGACCGATAACTGTAAACAACGTCAACAGGCCGAGGCTACTAGCGACAGCGATTCGCTGATTCAAATGAAACCGTAAAAGCCAACTAATCTAATAGCATTAACATCATAAAAAATATATACACCGATTCACCTTCTACAAACTGGCAAATCTTGCAAACTCCGGAGAAGCCTGGATTGTGGTTATTGAAAAAGGACATCAAAATAAAATATCATCAATACAGCCTATCAAAGTCCACTCCTGACCTGCACCATATAGTGCTCATAGGGGTGATATTTTTTATGTTACTACGCTTGCCATTCGTCGTTTTTTATGGTTCCGTACCCAAAGGGTCACCAACGGGACCCTTTAGATACTAAGCCTCCGCTGTCCGTCCGACGGTCTGTCTGTCAGCGGGCTGTATCTTATGATCCGTTATAAGTACAGTTGAAATTTTCACAGTATGTGTATTTTTGATGCCGCTATAACAAATAATAAAAATTAAAATAAATTAACAATTAAAAGGGGCTGCCCTACTAGAAACGTGTATCACCATGGTGCGGAACCCTTCGTGCGCGAGTCCGACTCGTACTTGGCCGGTTATTATTATTTTGAGCTAGAGGAAGACGTTATCGCACACTCCGGTTTCATTTCGCTCTGTCGCCTTTTATGACAACCACGGGATGATACGGGCTAATGGATTCTCTTTCTCCGCCAACACATGGCGCAAATAAAATGTGTCGGTATATTTTTGTTTAGAAAACGAATGGCAAAGGCAAATAAGCTACTATTTTTCTTATCGCTAACTTATTTTCTTAACCGCGCGACCTTCGACCGCACATTACGAAAGTTTGATAAAATTGTCTATTTAGTTTAGTTACCGCATGCTGCTACAAATTGGTTAACGTAACGAATATTAAAATGTTGAGTTACAGATATATAACGCGAGTTTTCTGTATAAAACAGTCAAATGTAAAAACCTTGAGCATACAGCGATTGTACAGTGACAATGTTTGTAAAACACAAAAGACGCCTTTGTACGACCTTCACGAAAAGTATGGAGGTAAGCTGGTGGATTTTGCCGGTTTCCTACTACCAATTCAGTACGCGGACATGAGCGTTTCTTCGTCCCATTTATTTACTAGAAACAGCTCATCAATTTTTGACGTATCCCATATGTTGCAAACAAATGTTTACGGCAATGACTGCATTTCTTGGTTCGAGTCAATATGTCCGGTGGATTTGAAAGGGATGGCCGACGGGACCAGTTCACTGACAGTTTTCCTAAATAAGAATGGAGGTATTATCGACGATTTAATTGTAACTAAAGTAAAAGATGACCAATTGTATATAGTGTCGAACGCTGGACGGATTGATGTCGATAAACAGCATATGCAAGAAACTTCTGAGGCATTTAAAAAGAACGGTAAAGATTTAAGTATCGAGTTTTTGAGTATTACTCAAAGGGCTCTTATAGCTGTTCAAGGTCCAAAAGCTGCATCCGTATTGCAACCACTTACAAATATTGCGCTAAAAGACCTGATGTTTATGAGCTCTACCGTGGGACAAGTAGCGGGGGTAAATTGCCGCGTGACCCGTTGTGGTTACACGGGAGAAGACGGAGTGGAAATATCAATACCGGCTGACAAGGCAAACACGGTAACTGAGGCTTTATTACAATCTAGTGATGTTAAACTTGCGGGTTTGGGCGCTCGTGACTCGCTTCGTCTAGAAGCTGGATTATGTTTGTATGGAAACGATATTGATGAGAGTGTGACACCCGTAGAAGCAAATTTGACTTGGTTGATTGCTAAAAGGCGGAGGGAGGAGGCCAATTTTCCCGGCGCTGACATAATAATGCGACAGATTAAAGAAGGTGTCAGTAAAAGGAGGATAGGAATAAGGATAGAGAAAGGTGCTCCTGCAAGAAAGGACGCTGTACTCAAAGACAAGGAAGGTAGAGATGTTGGAAAAATAACAAGTGGTTGCCCCAGTCCGTCATTAGGAGGCAATGTTGCTATGGGATATGTTGTCGAGCAACTAAAGAAGCCTGGAACTGAGTTATTAGTTAACATCAGAGGAAAGGATGTACCTTGTAACGTATCCAAAATGCCTTTTATTCCTTCAAGGTATTATGTAAAGAAATAAAACAAGTTAGATCATCAATAAAATAATTCTTTATTACATTTTAATCCTAACATAAACATCAATTAAGAAATGCAAATTCTTGAAATTTCACATTTTTAAACTTAATATAAGTATATACAAAAATATAAAAGATCAGTTAACATTAACAATTATTTGCAAAGCAACCATTGAGCAATAATAAATAAATTCGAAAATATTACTTTTTTGTATTTAACATTAATTTCAATACTAGGATCTTGCAAAAGTGGAATAATAAGGAATGTAAAGATATTTTATACATATTTAATACTGGTAATTACTTTAAACGTGTACTTTACTATCACAGAAGTATTTTGACACTTGAAAAAATTTCATAAACATAAATATATTTAATATTTATATTTTAAGATTTAAGACAACCTCGGTAGAAGCCATAGATTAAAGAATAATAACATTCTCCTTATTAATTTACAAATTGTAGTTTGTACTTGCATTGCCTTTACCAAACTTATGTAACAAATATATATATATATATAGATACATACATATTTTAAATTTAATTATTTAATATTAAGTACACTTTTATCTCCATTCATGGTCCCATACATACCAAAGGATTATATCTTTAAGCCATCTTTGTACACGATTTATCATAATATGAAAAGATAAACACGCTTTATAATCTGTTGTACATGTCACTTGCTATTTTGTGCCGTTTTAAAATTATCTTGCGCGAGGCGGGAAAAATCTTCATTTAGTTTATTTATCATTTCAGTACACTGAAAAGAGCGATAAATATTAATATTTACGAAAAGAAATATACAATTAATAATATTTTACTATGTGGTATACGCTCGTAGTACTCATAGCAATTTCTGCCGCCAAGCGGCAGTGCTTGAACTTTTGTGTTCTTGAGTCTGAAGGACAAAGAGAGTCGCCATTATTAAAAGCTGTGAGGGATGAGCAGCCTATTTCCTTGGAAGTAGTTTCCAGTAGCCACTTAACATCGGGTGAAAAGTTATTTTGCTGTATTTTTACTTTAATTTTATATTAAAAAAAAAAACATTCAGAAACAGTATGATAACGATCACCGCATTCCCAGGGGTTATCATAAATAAGGGCGCGACTTTTCTGATACCAGGGCGGCGCCACTTAATATACCTGAAAACATCACCTCAGTATCAACCAGCGACATCTGTAGGCGAAAGATTATTAGCTCTCATTGAAGTGAAAATGAGAAAAAATGCCAATTTCAAATATCACAGACTTGAGTTGTTTTTTAAAGTATTAAAGATTTAAAAATATTGTGAAAAAATAATACCATTAATCTACTAATAATTACAACAAGCAATGCATATTCTTTTTTTAATAATTCAATTGACTTATTCTTTACTAGCTGTTCCCCGCGACTGCACCCGCGTGCAATTTATTATGATTGGATTTCATGGGTTTTAATTTTTTTTTTGTGCGAAACCCTAATTATTTTCCTAAAATAAAATTATCCTAAGTTACTCCATATAACATCAGCTATTTGCCAGTGAGTCCCACTCAAATCGGTTCACATGTATTTGCGTGATGCGTGTTCAGACAGACGTCGTGTTAGTTTTATAATAATAATAGATTTTAACCTATAAAAACCCAATACTGGACATGAGCTTCTCGCGCATCCACACCCGATCATAAGTGGTGACGCAATTCCGACTAGTAAATCACACTGCCTTAGCTTAATAAACTTACGTCATATTCTTGATATTGTTGAACTTGGGCCCTCTTCTCTCTATTCTTCTCCTCCTGTATTCTACAGTTTATGTGGTAATTGAGCTGATTTTGAAGTTTCAAAAAAATCTTTCTGTACTCGTCTTGAATTCTATTAATTTCATTGTTAACATGTGTATCTTTCTTCGCCATATAATCCTGTAAAATGTTACTTGGATAAATAAAAAATTAAAAATCACATAGTAGTGAAGTTAAGTATATCATATACTTTTAGGATATAACTTGCAACTATTTCGCCGTGTAATTTTTTAAAATAAAATAACCGGCCAAGTGCGAGTCGGACACGCGCATGATGGGTTTCGTACCATCGTAAAACACATTTATAGTAAGAGAGCCCCCTTTAATTTATTTCTATTTTTATTATTTGTTGTTATAGTGACAACAGAAATACACATTCTGTGAAAATTTCAACTGTCTACCTATTACGGATCATGAGATACAACCCGCTGACAGACAGACGGACGGACAGCGAAGGCCGGATGGATCGAGAGTGAGTGAGTGGTTGCATCACTCTAGCGGAATGTCATATCAATGGTGGCGTGGTAGAATTGAGAGTATATTAAGAAACCCCCACAGCTTTGTGCAGTATAAAATTCACTGTAGACGACGTGCGCGGGAGATTCCGCCTAAGTTATTCTACGTGGTTTTGTCCGTTGTAGTGATTCTTCCAGTGCAGGCGGGGAAGATCGTGTTGCTGAGAGGCTGTCCTGTGTTACAGTGAGATGGGTGGTGTTGCTGTTGGTTTACATACTTTGGTGTTCTCATGTAAATACGTCCCTCATATTACATTACTGTGTAATTGTGACTGGGACATATTACGGTATTGTCGAACTATAATTGCTCTATACTGAATGTATAGTGCAGTATGCTGTTTTATTTCCGATAATGTTTAATTGCGTAAGCAGGAGAGCAAGTTGGAACATCCGCTCTCACATCATTATTATTTTTAACAATTAACCTTTTCTGATGTATTTCCGATAATTTCTAACATGTTTAATATGTGTGCATAAACGACCTTAGACATGTTAATATTAAAAATGCCATATTTTAACATGCCATACATAATGTGATTTCTACTCATTGGATTTAATCTCAATTTCATTTAATGCAAATATAATTACAGTTCTTGCAACTAATGAAGAATTCGCAATTCGAATTCTGGTGTGCGTGTGTTCGCAATTCTTCTCTGGCTTGAGCAATTTAGATGAAAATTTTATTGAGTACTCACGGGGTCACCTGGATGGTTCTTAGGAGCAGGGGCAGATCGCTAGTATTATGTAAAAAAAAACGAGTGACAAATTTTTTTGGAAAATTTCATTTGACTTCCGATTAAATCGGTAAAATTTGATTTTATTGTACGTGGTAGTCATGTTGCAGCTATATTAGTAGTAAGTATAGTTGTAGCACGAATGGGTCGGCTCTACCAGGGAAGGACCACGCTCTCACAGAATATCAGCGTAAATTAGCACCTTAACGCTGCTGTATTTCGCGTATGTAAAGAACTGGAGACCCCTTTTACTGGAAACGAGGCATTCCATCTCAGTCCTCACGGGTAACAACGCATCTGCATTTTGATTCGTAGTCGAGGATAGATGTATATGGGCCACAGTATCCACATACCATCAGGTGGACTGTGTGCTCGTTTGTCACCCTTATCTTATAAAAAAATGTAAATATAAGAAATGAATTAATTTAACGGAAATTAATCTGTATCAAATGTATGTACACACTACAACTTCACCAGATTGAACAGAACAATAGAGAGAGTCATTTTACATTTGGTGTGTATGTGACTTTCTGTCGCATTTCACGAGTCCTCGCCAGCAATTCCCACAATCGGCTAACGAAACGAGACGAGGAGATGGATTAATTGATTCACCACCAAATGGTATCATATGGGGTTCTTAGTTATGTTTACAAAAAATACCTTGTAAGTGTAAACAGTTTTCTTAGCATTCCTATATTTGTCTTGCAAAGTCTGATATTCAGTTTGCAGTTTGGCATAAATCTGTTCTTGTTGAATTAACTGGTCTTGTAATTCTGCCACTTTGACTTTCAATGACTGCCATTCTGAAGCACACATGTTTGTCTTTTGCTTCCAATCTTCTTTTTCCTTCTTTAACATATCTTCTAGAGAGCCTAATCTAGACAATCTGTCTTTGTACCTCTCTGCTTTAATCCTCCATTCGACGCTGCTGTCTTTTGCCCTCTGCAATTCGTTTTGTAACTCGTTATGCTCCTTTATAAGTACAGATATTTCATTTTCTTTAGACTCCAATATCTGCGTCACTTTCGCACGCTCTGATAGTATGAACTCTTTCAACGTTTCTACTTCACTTGCTTTTCTTTCTAACAGTTCTTTTAACTTTGTGATAGTGGTCAATTGTTCGGACTCTATTTCTTTAATACGTCTCGCGCAATTCATTTCCATTGTTTTTATCTCTAAAGTAAATTTCTCTGCAATTTGTTCTCGTATTTCCCTCTCACGCATCATAACTGCAGTCTGTAAAATAAAATTAAAATTTAGAGTATGGTATAAGTACAATATAATATATCATAATTTATATGAATATGAGTATATAGAGCATATACCACGGTTTCATAAAGGTCATATAATAAATTTATTCTGTTTAGCATGTTGCATTGAATTTTGAATGATAACATATTATAATTTTTTCTCTGTGGATTTCCATTTTTCTTTGTGGCATTCCTTGGGGGAGGCCTATGTTCAGCAGTGGACTTGTGAAGGGCTGTAATGATGATGATGATATTATAATTGCTGAACGATAAAGTACGACTTTAAGTAGAATAATACAGTAAACATAGAATTAGTAGAACCAACAGTTCTAGTATTCTACATAGCCCCTATTAGTATGTGTATGTTTGTTTGTATATTTATTAGAACCGTGTTTTTTTTTATAGAATAAGGGTAACAAACGAGCACACAGTCCACCTGATGGTAAGTGGTTGCTGTGACCCATGGACATCCACATTTATCCTCAATAAAGAATCAAAATGCAGATGCGTCGTTACCCGTGAGGACTAAGATGGAATGCCTCATTTCCAGTAAAAGGGTCTCCGTTTCTCTACACTCACCATATGAAACACAGCAGCGTTAAGCTGCTATTTTACGCAGGTATTCTGTGAGAGCGTGGTCCTTTCCCGGTTGAGCCGACCCATTCGTGCTACAACTATACTACTAATATAGCTGCAGCATGGCTCTACCATGAACAAAGTGGTAGTGGATATTCTTACACCGTGTAGTGACGGTGTAAGAATATCCACTACCCCATATCAAGAGGCGACAGAGGGAAACAAATCAGAAGATGGGCAGCGGCATATTCCTAATAACGACTAAAAATAAAAAAAAACTGCGATTGTCAACCCACTTGCCAAGCGTAGCAACTATGGGAAAAATCCCCTTATGAAACAATCTATGGGGTAGGCCTATGTTCAGCAGTGGACTTTAATGGGCTGTAACGGTATATTTATTATGTATATTAATATGAGTTGAATGTAATATTATCTAACATTACAATACTTACACAATTTTATTACCATAAAAAAAACCACTATCATACAGTCCTACTTTACGTAATATATTCTTTTTTGTAAACACAAAAGAATATATTACATATGTGAATATTTCCGTATATTTATTTAGTTTGTCAATGTATTTCCTAGTTAAGCTATATTCCTGTTATGTAACATATCTTTGTACTGCTTTACTTAACTGGTATAGAAAGTAATATAACATAAAAGCACCCCTTCTGTATGCGATTTTAATGTCAATAACAAATAAATAAATATTCTATTTTATTTAGTATATTAATAAAAGTATTATAAAAAAATAGAGTGAAATATATACATTCAACAACGTATATGAAATATAATAGAAAGGGCATATCGCACAAAACAACTATTAAACAGATAAATTATTTTGTACGCGGTAGAACCAAGCAGCAGCTATTTTATAGTTGTAGCACGAATGGCTCGGCTCGAACGGGGAAGGGACACGCTTTCACATAATACCAGCTTAATACCGCTGTGTTTCGTATGGTGAGTGTAACCGGACACCCTTTTTACTGGAAATGAGGCATTCCATCTGTATTTTAGGGTGACAACTCATCTGTATTTTCATTCTTAATCAAGGATAAATGCAGATGTCTGTGGGCCACAACGTCCACTTTCCATCAGGTGAACTGTGTGCTTGTTTGTTACCCTTATTCCTTAAAAAAATGTAATAGTTGTTATTTATTCTTAACATATATATTTAAAAAAATAAACAAGGTCGTAAAGTCCGCACAATATTTACATGTTTCAAAGCTTACTTTATAAATCTTATCCATTTTTAAATATTATACCTTTTAACTCTAGCAAAAAGAGCTTTTTTGTAAGTGCTAAAAGCACTTAGTTGGTTAAAAAGAGTTTGGGTTTTATTTAGTAAATGTAACTATTACCTTAGTAGCTAGAGCGTCGTCGCAGTTCTGAACAAGTTTTTCTAGGCTCCCAGAACTCTGAAAGACAACTTCTTCTGTATTGGTGGCAACGCTGCGTTGGTCAACCAGTTTTTTATATCGTTCCACAATGTACTGCTGAAAAAATTCCGCCTTGCCTTTTAGCTCTTTCATTAGCGTCTCGCTGCTTTCTTGGGTAGCTATATTTGCAAATGAAATTAAATTTAGAAATGTAACAGAAGAAGCATTTATTTTTCATTCATTCATCCCATACATTCTTAAAAGAACGCTGCTGAATATAGGCATCTCCCATAGATTGTCACAATTAATTTGAATGATATTTTTATTTAAATATTTTAATAGGCAAATATGTATAATATAAAAAATAATAATAAAATACATTTATTTACAAAAATTATATTTTAATAAAATGTGTTGTATAATTTGATTACAACGTCAATAGTGTCGAATCTGAGTAGCAAATTATATCTATAATTTTACCGAAACATAACCACGAGGGCGGTGAAGCGTCACCACTAGTGATAATTGATAAATATTATTAAATTTCGTGTGTTTTATCGATAATACAGGAAGCTTAAGTGCAAAAAGTCACTTCATGTGACCTTTTTTCTCGAGTGGTTTACTCAGCACCTCAGTGCGCATGAAGGCATATTTATTCGATTTTAGCTTTGCCCCCAAATGTGTTACTTCAATGTAAAACACAAAGTTTTAATGATAAAATATTTTAATTTATATTGTTTTTTTGTATACTATTATTTCTATTATTATTTAAGTATACTGTCATTATGGGCAGTTCTAAGTTTGATTTTAAATTTTAATTAAAAAAAAGGCCCAATGGTAAGTTAATACCCCAAAGTTGGTTTACATTTTTTTTTATCTAGTCATTCTGGTTTTACCTTTTCAAGGAATACAGTATTTACATACCGTTCTGAACTTATATTAAAATAACTAAATAATAAACCTTCTTACCTAATCTTACGGTACATTTATTAAGTTGTTCTTCTAAATTTCTTATATGTTTTAATTGCTTCTCGCACTGCAAACAAGGCTGCATCTCTTTTCGCAATGCACTCTTTTCATCTAAAAATTAAGTACATAATTTATATTCCATAGACAAATAAGACATTATTGACATATACTACATCTTAAATTGTCCATCGCGTTCTAACATTATAGTCAAATTTGACTACTTGGCAAGGTTTGACTGCAAGTTTTTTATCTAGGTTTTTAATTGTATAACATACACGATTGTAAGCTGTTATTTTTTTTAAAGTCCCGCTGAGTTTATTTGTGGTTCTTCCCAGGACAGAGGTTTTTTTCCGAACCAGTGGTAATTAAACAAAAGAGTGAATTTCAGTAAGTATTATTTATAAAATCTATATTGAATAAAAAAGTTTCTGTTTCTATTTATTTGTTACAGTCCATCAAAATATTACTGCTGAACATAGGCCTTCTACATAGATTGATTCATAGAGGACATATTTGCCACAGTTGTCACGATCGGCAGTCTTGCCAGGGTGGCAACCGCAGTGTATTACCTTCCAAATATTTATTCAACTTCTCCGTGAACTCTTTTTGTTTGTCAGTGAATTCTTTCTGTAGTTCCGAAATTCTTTTGTTGGCTCTGTCTAATTCCTCCCTCGTATTAGAAAGGTCTGAATTTAGTTTTTCTAATTGTTGTTTTTGTTTTTCTATCCTCTCTACATAATCTTTCTCTTGCGTTTTGAACAATTCTCTTTCTTTTTGTGTTTTCATTTGGTGGTCTTTTAGTTCTCTAGTCACCGCATCGCGTGCACTACATACCTACAACAACAACAAAAATATGTTTCATTTCGCTTTACAGATTTTAACAAACAATATACACACCTATTTCTGGTATTAAGTTTGGCACAATAGTGTTTTTTTTTTATAATTAAAAATTCCTGAATATTACCTGTAAATACAGATTCTTAAGTTCGCCATTTTCCTTTAGAGTGTCTTTAAGCTGAGCGCTATAGCGTTCCAGCTCTCGCAAGAGATCAGCATTTGCTTCTTGTACTATAGACGCGCGGCTTCCTTTCTCAGTCTTTAATTTCTCATAGTCCATTTCCAGTTCTGTATATTTAAGGTCCAACTGGAAAAATCCTTTTGTGTTATAATACTTATCAAAATAATAATAGTTGGAAAATATACTTCCTCATTAACTTTTAGAATTTATTATCTATTAAAAGTTACGAATTTATAGAAAACACTAACCGATTTAAGTTCTGCTCGGACTGCTTCCACCTCTGTTTTGAGTTGTTCATTCTGCTGCCTATAGTTCTCTAAAAGTTCGTCATTAGAGCTGTTGCCGAGAAGGTCTAATTTGTTTTGAAGCACAGCTATTCGGGAATTTAATTGTAGCTCTATACCTTTGTACTCTTCAATCTTGGATCGTAGTTCGATTTCTTGCTTTCGATGCTGCTCTAATTTTTTATCACTATAATCGAAATTACACAACTGCAGTGCGATTGTGTAACTCTGGTGCGAATTGTGGTTTGTTTTGAAATTTGTTTCCGTTATATTGTGTAAATGTATCAGTATCAATCATAAGTGGATATTTTTTTTATACTAATATGATATTAAGTGACTAGATATAGTCATAATGAAAAATTATAAAGTATGTGTATTATACAGTTGTGGAGTGGTTCAAAGTTACACAATCGTACTGCCAATTGGGGATGCTTTAAAATGATTCTGCAAAATATGTTGTGCCATAATGAGCTCCCCAAGAACATTTCCTGTTTTTGATTAATTGTTGGAAGGAAAATGGTCTACTTGTGGGTTTCTTGCCACTTCTCTTAACGTCTTCTGCAGTGGGGAGTAGGGAAAAGGAGAAAACATTTAAACCCTTTGTTACTTCCACAAGACGAATCTAACGTCATCTCTTATGTCTATCCATCAAACTATTTAGACTAAAGAGCATGCCAAAGAAATAGACATACATACATTCATATACTCGAAAGTCATTATCCTCTTTCTGGGGCAGTCGGGTAAATAGAAAAGAAAGCGATTTTGAACTATAGCATTTTGTATATGAACGACAGAAATATTTATTGCATTCATTCTGTGACGATTTATGAATTGATCACATATTTATGAAGATTAATATGCTGAACATATGCCCCACTAGACACTATCATAAAAAAGCTACGCGCATTTTCCGCTTCGCGTTTCGCCTCTTTAGATATGAATATAAAAGAGAAAAGAATATTTAATTAATTGCATGTTGCTTTTTTAATATGGGCTCAATTACTTCTATATATTTTCTATTTAGATTAATATGAGAAACATACCGTTTTACGATTTCCTCTTGTAACATAGACAACTTTTGTGTTTGCTGTTTATATCGACTCAGAACCTCTTTTAATGTTGCCAATTTACCTGGCGACGGTGGGTCCCCTGTAAATAAAGGTAATTTAACAAAATGTACTTCACATCTCATAAAAATAACAATACAGATATTTACAGTCTAAACATTTTTATACGTGGTAGAGTCATACTGCAGCTATATTAATAGCATGAATGGGTCGGCTCGACCGGGGAAGGACCACGCTCTCACAGAATACCAGCGTAAAATAGCAGTTTAATGCTGTTGTGTTTCGTATGGTGAGTGTAGAGAACCGGAGACCGTTATTACTGGAAAAGAGGCATTCTCTTTCGCAACCACTCACCATCATTAATCAGGTGGACTGTGTGCTCGTTTGTCACCCTTATTCTATAAAAAAAACCAGTTTCGTTAGAAGAGTGAAAACAATAAGGAAAGGAGGCAATGTTCGGAGCTTGGAGCTCATTGAGATATCTAATATTTTGTAACATTGGGTCCCTTTTTAATGTTCATGTTTTTGGTGGGTTAACATTAATTTTTTCTTTTTTTTTTTAATTTTGCCGTGTTATCGTTATACCCTTTCTTATAGAAGCAGCATTATTTGAGAAATATTCACGCACCAACAAAGGCCAGAGTGGATTCCGCTTATACACTTTCAAATCAAACTTACCTATTTTATAGGAATAGTCTGGCAGTGACTCCATTAAGATCTGATTGAGATTGGTTCGCCAATTCTCGTACTCCTTTTGACTGTTGGCTAATTTATTACGACAAAGCACCAGTTCGTGAGCCGTGAGCTCCAATTTAGACTGCAAAAGAGTAATTGAATGCAGAAAGATTTAAAATTTGTGATTGAATTTTATGTGAAATTGCGGGTCAACCACCCGCAATTTCCTGGGTTCAGTTTCTAGGACAAAGTCAATGTTTGCAAAACATAGATATTTCACTTTAGACATTTAGTTACTTTAGACAGCTAGTCAAATTAAGAAAGTTTGATTACAGTTATAGTAATTCTTAAACTACTGGTTCAAATTTAATGAAATTTGAAATACACCGAGTTTATACAATGCCTACTTGAGCGCTTAAAATTCAGGCTTCTAGTTTTATCCACAACGAAGTTATAGGGTTTCAAAAATAGCCTGAATTGCTTCGAGAAAAGGATGGTACGGCCGTGCCGCTTTATTGCTCGACTTGGCGACGAAAAATGGAGATGATAAAATAAAAGAGAAACAAAAGCAAAACGCTTTTGTTTCTCTTTAATTTTACTTGGTCGTTAAGAACTAGTTATAACTACACCGTTAATATTATTTTGTAAATTTTTGCAATTTGACATTATAAATGATCAATAAAAACCATAATAAAAATGTCTATAAATCCTCTGAAACATTGCTTATATTTTTATCTCGTATTAATGGCCTTGTTTTACATACAATAAACATTGCATAGGAGTTTTGAATTGTAGCGTGTTTAGTTATTTGCTTACAGCAAAGGTTTATTTATGTAGTAATATTTAAACAAGTGAACAAAATAAGAACAAGCATTGATTTTTTTTTTGTAAAATAGCTATAAAAATTATTATCTTACTCCAAGTTCTTTCACTTGCTCTCTGGCGGTATTTCTTTCGGTGGTCAATTGCAACACTTTCTCCTTCAATCTTGCGCTTTCTCCACTTACAAGTCTACTCTGCGCAGCTTTCAACTCACTTGCTAACCTGTTAATTGTGCTTCCTTTCTCTATAAGTACCTCTTCTTTCTCTCGATCTTTCTCCTTGCAACGTTTTTCGAGTATTTTTATTTCGTTTTCCTGAACACAGAAGTCTCTGTTACTTCTACAATGTCCTACTATTCTTGTTATTATTTTTCTCTTACATTTAATATTATATTTTACAACCGCTTCTTAAAACTTTTTTTAGAATGTTCCAACAAGTATCGACAAATTAAAATATTGGCTCATACTGAACACACCGGGCAGGGGTTGAAAAGCGCACAGCCGTATAATATTTTTATCCCATGATGGTGGCTTAGTCATACTTGTAATGTAGGTACACATAAACATTTTTTAGTGTGGGTAAGCTCAGGAGTAAAAAAATATTATCATTACACGGTAGAAGTAAACGGAAAAATATTTTTTGCAGTACTGTAATAAAATAATTGACGTAAGCAGTGGAGTATGGAGCCCTGGGGAATGAGATAGAATCTTTTGTAACTGTACTTGAATGTCCATCATCTTATAAACGTCAAAAATCGGTAAGTACGCGAAACGGCGGGACTAGGCATTTGTTTAGTTATTTTTGTTAAGCAAGTCGGAAGTAAAAGCGTTCTCGAACTGCTTTATCTGCGTGCGCTGGCGTAATGGCTAGTGATACGTATATACAATGTTCTACAAAAATATTTGCTTATGCCATATGCTTATTTCTTATACATAAGCCACAATAAGTTATTGTGTGACAAAAATTTATTGAAAGTTAAAAAGTGATATATGAGCGTTATTATTAGGCATGGTATATTAATTCTAACTTACGAAAGTTACTTCATCAAGACAATTTTATAAAGATAAACTTTGCTCTTTATAGCATGTTATTAGAACGCATAGTTTAAGAGATAATGAAAAATTAAAATAATTTAACACTCGGTTCGGCACACAAACGACGACCGGCGGTGAAAAACAGCAGTGAACGCATATATATAAGCGATGTGTCATGCTCAGATACGTGATATACGCGGCGTAACCTTTTTTTTTTTTAGTTCAAAATATTTTAGTACACAGAACTACTCGCATTCTTTAGTATACTACTGATCTCGCGCACTTTTTTTATAACTGACTGGTGAATTGCGGTTTCTACTGAGTTTTTGATTAATGAATTTTATAAAAGTATAATTGGAGATAAACAACAAAAGCACACAACAAGAAAAATGCTCACTTTTTCATCGAGTCTCGTTTTAGCTTTGATCAAGTCATTTTGTAGCCTGTCCATTTCTTCTCGATGCCTGTAAATAACATCATAAGTTTCATTATGATGAACTAATATTGCTCTTTAACTATAATATATCATAAATTTTTACTTGTACTACAATGTACACATACGTTATATTTGTATTTAAAACTTCAGAATGGTTAATTAAACAATTTCTCTACCATTTTAATAATATTGCTGCCATCTTTCAGTGATTAATTTAAATAAAAATAACCTAGTTAAAATTCTAAAATTAACATACCTATATTTTTAGACAAACCTAATTATTAATAATAATATTAATAATTATAATATAATATATATATAAACAATTGTAGTCAAAAATAACAAGAATTCTTTCTGAATCTTCAATGAACGAACATAATCCTGGCGCAAATTTTATTGTAACTGGTTTTTAATAAATTAATATTTATACAAAAATTATTCCTTGATAACATTTTCTGAATAAAATCATGTACAAAAGTAGCCTGTATAATAGTAGTGATAAATGTAACTCTGACTCGGAAATAGACAATCTAGCCAGACGACGATAATAAACACAAGTCGTAAAAAAGTTCGTGCAGCATGAACTTTTTTACTACTAGGCAAGTAGAAGTACTATAGGCGAGTTTGCTATCATTATTTATATTGTCCCATTGGCATTCGCCTTCTTCTTCAGTCTTCGTCTGTAAAAATCCACAGCTGGACACTCTCTATTCGTAGGGAAGATTTGCCTTAATAGCTACGCTTGACATGCGGATTGAAGATTGCAGTACCAGACGTATTGTACCTTTTAATAAGTTTTTTTTTTTTATAGAATAAGGGTGACAAACGAGTACACAGTGGATTCTGTAGTCCATAGACAATTTTATCTTCAATTAGGAATCGAATTGCGTAAAAAAAGTTTCCGGTTCTATACGCTCACCATACGAAACGTAGCAGCATGAAGCTGCTATTTTATGCTAGTATTCTGTGAGAGCGTGGTCCTACCGACCCATTCATGCTACAACCATAATATAGCTGCAGCGTGGCTCTACCGCGTCAAGTTTTTTTATTATTTAGAGTTGTCATAGCAAGATGCTGCTGCCCATCTCCAGTTTTATTTCTTTCTGTTGCCTCCTAAGACACTGATATTGAATAGTGGATATCCTTACTCCGTCACTGTCCTTACTATAGCTTATTTCTCAATACTTACCTATCTTGCTGCTCTCTAAATAAAGCATCAGTGTCATGTGTGTGAGCAACCTGAAAAGAGGAATAATAGTATCATTAATGCTGTTTTCTACCGACTTCAAAAATGAGAAGATACTCAATTCAACTGTAATTTTTTTATGTGTGTTACCAGCACAAAGCGCTTCTTTCGAAGCTTCCTTCCTATGGGCTTCCCGAGAAATTGTGCAAATGGATCACCAGTTTCCTTGCTGATCGGAGCATCAAGGTCGTAGTAGACGGTGCATGCTCTGATTTCAAGTCTATCAACGCTGGTGTTCCACAAGGCTGCGTGCTATCACCGACGCTGTTTCTCCTGCATATCAATGATATGTTGCTAACTGGTAGCATTCATTGCTATGCGGACGACAGCACTGGTGGAGTCTTTGCTTAACAAAGTCTCGGATTGGGGGCGACTAAATCTAGACCACTTCAATCCCCAGAAGACACAAGTTTGCTCGTTTACCGCTAAAAAGAACCCCTTTGTCATACATACATACCCAATTACAAAATTATAATAAATACCTGAAGAGTATGAAGTCTTTGCTGAACATCTTGTAAACTAATGTTCGCAGACCTTAACTCTAGTCGTAATTGCTCCTTTTCTTGTTCATTTTCCATTAATTTCTGTGTCAAACTTGTCAATTGTTGCTCAAGCTCAATAGACTTGTGCTTACTTGATGCTGAAAGTAAAAATTATAACAATAATCGCATGTATTTAGTATATAGAAAGTTTTAGATTTTCTATAAAGCAGCATGGCTCTACCACATAAATTATCTTAGTTATTCTAGAAATTAAGAAATTCGATATATATCATAATATATTTTTATATCCACATTTTTATGTCAGTTACAAGACTGCACAAAACATATCATACATTTATGGTGCAACATAATATATACTTTTACAACAAAATTCCATATATATCATAATATATTTTTATATCAACATTTTTATGTCAGTTACAAGACTGCACAAAACATATCATACATTTATGGTGCAACATAATATATACTTTTACAACAAAATTCCAGAAAATGTTTAATGTATGTCAATCAACAAATTTAAAATTTCATTTAAACTATATAAAAAGGGTTCATTATAATGATATTGATCCAATCAATCAAATTATTGTCTAAAATTTAATTTTCTAACTACTACTAATGATTATTATATGATCCTACAAAAAATAAGGAAACATACCAGATTTCACACCATTAAATAGTGAAATTCATTTCTCAAACCGTGAGAAACATCTTAGACTGTGAAGATAGATGAAAAACTACCTTGGAAGTGTCACGTCGAGCATATCTCAAGAAATCTACAGTAATGGGAGCTTTTGCAAGGTAGCAAGTTGCCTTCCAAATTCAGCGCGCGTTAAAATATACAATTATTTACTAAAATCACGTCCAGAATATTTCACTGAAGGGATTGGCAACCAAATAAATTTTCAATAGCCTACAAAGATTTTAATGTTTTTTTTTTTTACGAAGGAATACAGTATTACCATAACTTGACAAATAACAAGGAATGAAAAATGTTTAGTTAAGTTTAAAAATTATGTTTGTACATTACAATCATAAAAGATTATTAAGTTATAATTAAGCCTCAGAATGACTGTAGTACCCCCAAGTATCGTTATGAACATCAATATACCAGCCCACATAGAACTTAGAGTTCTTTTAAAAGTGTATAAGTGTTGAAAAGACGTATCGTTATAAGAGTGATTTATAAGTTATTATATAGCTCAAGCTGTATAAAGTCTGTATTATAGGATCTAAGTAAGCTTAGGGTTCTTAATCAGAATATGAAAACTCTAGTATACAACTTTAAGTATTTTGTAACATTTCAATCTGATTTTATCATTAAAGTTGTTAGAAGCTGTTTTCTTGCATGCTGTCCCTTGCTTATACAGCTCTGTTATTATAGTATCACTAAAATCTTATTTCTGAACAATGGTGTACGCAAACTCCCTTCTAAAACTTATTTTATGGTGTCATTGTACACTTTTGTAAATACGGTAGTTTTATGACTTCTGTCTGTAAAAGTGATATAAAACTAAATAAATAATTAACAACCATAGTACAACTTAAACCTGTATAAGTGACAGAATATCTCCATTTTGCATGCATTGCGAGTTTATATTATGCTAGTGAACAAACTTCATTTCTTATCAATATGTGGAAAAAAAGATAAAGATTTGCTGCCGTTAATAGATTATGTTAAATCTAAATTAAAGTTTTAAGTAGTTTTAAATTAAGTCAAAGTTTTTCATCTTTTACGTATATACGTATCTCTAAAGAGAATTATATGTTATGTTGAAAAAACTGCTATACAACGTAAGTTTATTACTTACGTCGTATAGCAGTTATCAATAAGCAATAAGCAGTTATCAATAGCAAATATCCTATTATAGAACTGATTAAAAACCAATGGCTGTGTGATATAATCCATAACATACATAGTACAGCTTCTAAGACTATAAGACCCTCGAAATACCGTTTAGGCTGTTTAGCAAATTGTCGTCATTTTAAGACCCGTAAAAACAAAATTTAAAATATAATTTTGGGAATATTAGACATTATTCTAAGCCTATACCATTACTTTCAGTTTGACTAATCATCACTGTGCCCCAATGTGCCTTCATATCCATTAATTTAATATTTGTTTTTATTCCAACCTATACAACCGATATTTAGTTACTGTATTTAGTATTTTGTCTTTAAAATATTTTGTTATTTTGCTGGCACGGCAATCTTTTGACAGAAAACCGTAAATCTAAGAATGAAGTTTACCGTAAATCTAATTTTGCACTTTCAAATTTTAATTCACTAATTATCACCATCAAAACTCAACTCCAATCCGAATATAATATTAATATGTTAAATATATATTAAGACATTAAATGTCGTCATCATTCAATAAAGGTTATTTTTGTTTTATATTAATTTGTAACTCTGTTCAAAAACCAATTTAGAATGTATGTCTTTAAAAGTTACTTATAAGACAATATCTGTAGTGTAATAGTTTCCTTGCACACCAAATCACAGTTGCAATACAGCAGTTATACAGCCTCTTTTATGCTTGTACAGCTACTGTACAACGCTACTATCACATAAAGCTACATAATTTGTGCCAATTTATAATAATAATAATAATAATAAATATCTTTATTTGACACTTCTATTTCATACAACATCATTGAGCCCTGACTCCTAAACTAGGATACCCTGTATTTCAGGAGTCAGTTCCTTCCTATTCAGTAACACTTTGTGTCGATAATACATTAGGAAATGTTGATATATTACTTAATACTCAGTTTAATATATACGCGCGCGCGCGCGTGTGTGTGTGTGTGTGTGTGTGTGTGTGTGTGTGTGTGTGTGTGTGTGTGTGTGTGTGTGTGTGTGTGTGTGTGTGTGTGTTAGTGAGTGAGTAGTTTGGTTGTTGCACTGCACATAAAGTTATTCGTATGGAGCTATTAAGTTTTCGCATTGATCGTAGTCATATTCTTTAAGCCAATTATACAACATACTTTTGAATGAATGATTTGAAGCCTTTCTTGTACACACTGTTTTATTTAATATATTATATAACTTGGGAGCTAGGTAACAATAATTCCTTTTGCCGAATATGGATTATACCTTGGGGATACTTATACGAACAGTTCTTTTTAAATTTTGTAATTGCGGAACACTACATCTATGAAAACGTCTAAGACATTGATATATGAATAATTTTCGAACACTTAGTACTTCAGTTAACTTATATACCATTTCTGTCGAATATCTGTAAGGAAGGGAAAGTATTACTTTTAGTACAGCCCTTTGGGCTCGCTCTAATTCTATAAGATGTGTTTTAGCAGCACATCCCCAGGAACATATGCAATAGCTGATAACGCTCTGGCATAGCGCTTTGTACGTTTGTAGCAATAGTTTTCTGTTTGCAACTGTTTTTAAATTCTTAAAAACATAAATAAACTTTCTGATTTTATTAGAAATAAAAGAAATATGTGGAGCCCAATTAAGCTTATCATCAACTATTATACCGAGATATCTAATTTTGTCAGCTTTACTTAGAATGGGGCACTCACATGTTGTATGGTTGTTATAGTTTCTATTACAAGGATACGTGTGAATTATTATTTTTAATTCGTTTCGTGGATTGCTAGCAGCGGTTTTTGAAAAACATAGAAATTTTGTTTTTGTGGTGTTTAATGTAAGTAGGTTATCTTCCAACCAACTAGTAACCTTACAAAGTCCTTCCTCAGTGGATTTTTTAACAGATTCCCAACTCGGACCATGAAAGAGTAAGACTGTATCGTCTGCAAACATGAAAAGGTCTGCGGCACGTATATTTAAGTGACACAAGTCGTTAATATAAGCCAAAAAGAGGGTTGGTCCCAGTGTACTGCCTTGCGGAATTCCATAGGAGCAGATAGCAGTGTCACTGAGGCAGTCATCAATACGTACTTTTTGGTTTCTGTTGGAAAGATAATCTTTAAACCAGTCCAATACTGTTCCTCGAATCCCAAAATTCTGAAGACGGGTTATAAGGACAGGAATAGATACTGTGTCAAATGCTTTTTGCAAATCTAGGAAAACTCCTAAACACTTCTTCATCATTACAGCCCTTCACAAGTCCACTGCTGAACATAGGCCTCCCCCAAAGAATGCCACAAAGCACGGTCCCGAGCCACCTGCATCCATCGACTTCCTGCAAATCTTACCAGGTCGTCACTCCATCTAGTGGGGGGACGCCCTACACTTCGCCTGCCGGTACGAGGCTGCCACTCGAGAACCTTTCTTCCCCATCGGTTGTCGGTTCTTCGAGCTATATGGCCGGCCCATTGCCACTTCAGCTTACTAATCCGTTGGGCTATGTCGGTCACTCTGGTTCTACTGCGGATATCCTCATTTCTGAGTTTATCACGCAGAGAAACTCCGAGCATAGCCCTCTCCATAGCTCGCTGAGCGACCTTGAGCTTCCTCATCCGGCCAGCAGTGAAGGACCACGTCTCAGTTCCGTATGTCATCACTGGCAACACGCACTGGGTGTACAGTCTCGTTTTCAAGTTTTGAGGTATACCTGACGAGAAGATGTGCCGTAATTTCCCGAACGCTGCCCAACCGAGTTGAATCCGTCGATTGACCTCTCGGTCGAAGTTGGACTTACCTAGTCGGACTATTTGTCCCAGGTAAACATACTCGTCAACAACTTCGAGCTTAGTGTTCCCAACAACTACCGGCATAGGTGTGACATGGACATTAAACATGATCTTTGTTTTGTCCATGTTCATCTTAAGACCTATCCGTTGGGAAACACTATTGAGGTCATTGAGCATAGTGCTTAGGTCCTCCAGCGATTCTGCCATAAGGACTATATCGTCGGCAAATCGAAGGTGAGTGATGTACTCGCCATTGATGTTGATACCGTATCCTTTCCAGTCCAGAAGCTTGAAAACATCTTCCAATGCAGCGGTGAAGAGTTTCGGGGATATGACGTCACCCTGTCTTACACCTCTCTGCAATTGGATAGGTTTCGTACTCTGGTTCTGTACTCGGATAGCCATCGTAGCCCTACTGTACAAGCACTTCAACACTTCGATATACCGACAGTCAACTTGGCATCGCTGAAGGGACTGCAGCACCGCCCAAATTTCGACGGAATCAAAGGCTTTCTCATAGTCCACATACGCCAGACATAGTGGCAAATTGTACTCCTCGGACTTCTGTACAATTTGCCGAAGGGTATGTATGTGGTCTATGGTGCTAAAGCCTTTTCGGAAACCGGCTTGTTCGGGAGGCTGGAAGTCGTCAAGTCTGCGCGCGAGACGATTCGTAATGACTCTCGAAAACAGCACGTAGACGCGGCTCAGAAGGGAAATCGGTCTGTAGTTCTTCAAGAGAGCGTTGTCCCCTTTCTTGAAGAACAAGACCACCGCACTTCTGCTCCACGCCTCCGGTGTAATGCCACCATGGAGGACGGAATTAAAGAGCTTCTGAAGGACTTCAAGTACCGGTTTTCCACCCGCTTTCAGAAGCTCCGCTGTAATTCCATCCTGGCCTGGGGCCTTGCCGTTTTTAAGGTGCTGGAGAGCCATTCTAATCTCGCTCAGACTGACGTCCGGGATATCATCGGAATAATGTCGGATAAGACTCGCTCTTGGATCGTTACTCACACTTGCGTGTGGCTCCAACGATGACGTGTACAGCTGCCCATAGAACCTCTCAATCTCACTCAAATTCTCAGGTGCCCCGGAAACGATGCTGCCACATTCGGTCTTCAGCTTTGACAGTTGGCTCTTTCTGGCAGACAGATCTCTGGCAAAGACTTTGGAGCCTTGGTTCCGCTCGATCGCTTCTTCAATACGAGCTGTATTGAAGTTGCGTAAGTCCCGCCGCATGCATTTGGAGATCTGTCTGTTCAGTTGCCTGTATGCTGTCAAATCTGTTGAAGAATGTAGCTTCATCTCCCGTCTAACAGCCATGAGATTAAGAGTGTGATCGGAGAGTTTTTGTGTTCTTCTGCGGCGGGTCTTGCAGAACTTAGCTCCGACCGCATGGACAGTTTCCACGAGCTTGTCATTCAAATCGTCCACTTCATTGCAGTCTTCTAGGCACTGAAAACGGTTTTGCAACTCGAGCTGAAAGGTTTCGGGACTTTGGATTAGAGCACGAGGGGGACGGAGCGTTGACTTCATTAGACGAGACCTCTCCAACTTAACGTTTAGGTTCAGTGTGCCTCTAACCATTCGGTGATCGCTGCCGGTTTTCACCCTCGCGATCACTGAGACATCACTGAACAGTTGTCGTCTGGTCGTCATAATGAAGTCAATCTCATTTTTTGTCGAACCGTCGGGGCTCGACCAGGTCCACTTCCTGTGGGGCCGCTTCTGGAAGAAAGAGTTCATCATAAAGAGTCCCTCTTTCTCCATGAAGTCGGCCAACTGCTGGCCCCTTGGGTTCCGTTGCCCTATTCCAAATTTCCCCACTTTCAGCTCACCGTTCTCTCTTGTGCCTAGTTTTGCATTGAAGTCTCCCATTAACACCGTATATTGGGTTTTGGAGGAATGCATGGCTCTAGAGATATCCTCATACATTTCCTCCACCTCCTGATCGGGGTGTGCCGAGGTTGGTGCGTAAACCTGTATGACCTTCAGCGAATACCGTTTGGTGATTCTGAGTATAAGGTACGCAACCCTCGTCGACACACTCTCAATCTTTACAACGTTGTTAACGAGAGACTTGTGGACGATAAATCCGACACCTCCTTGGGACAGATGGTCGCCCTCCCGGTGATAGAGCAAGTTGCCGGATTCAAGGATTACCGTGTCCTCCCCCTCTCTTCGGACTTCGGATAATCCTATAATATGCCAGCGTAACTTGTCTATCTCTTCTTCCAGCTCCACAATCTTCTCGTCAGTCCTCAGGGTGCGTGCGTTGTATGTTGCCAGGTCGAGTCGTTGTAGGTGGCAACCGAACCTCCACCGGAGATTCTTAGCACCCCCTGCCCCGCCGTTACCATGGTCGCCACCGTAGCCAGGAATAGCGGGGCCGCCGGGGACTGGGGGCCGTCTCTTCGTAACCTTCATTATGGGGGGTATATTGCCATAGTTGCCACGCTTGGCGAGCGGGTTGGCAACCGCAGTTTTTTATTGTATTTTGTCGTTACCAGGAAGATGCTGCTGCCCATCTCCTGCCTGTTTCCCTTTGTCGCCTTTTACGACACCCACGGGAAGATATGGGGTAGTGGATATTCTTAACCGCCACTACACGGCGTAGTGAACACTTCTTACTTTCATCTAAATATTGTGTTATTTTAGTGGTCAAATTAAAAACAGCCTCTTCGGTTGAACGATTTGCTCTAAAGCCATATTGATTATCAGCAAGAAGTTTGTTATTTTCTAGGTACTTAGTTAGTCGTCTATTTACAAGCTTCTCTAGTATCTTAGAAAGTGATGATAATAGCGCTATTGGCCTATAATTTGATGCTAATGACTTGTCTCCTGATTTATGTATTGGACAAATTATTGCTTGTTTAAATTGATCCGGAAAAACACCAGATAGAAAACTTAAGTTACATATATGGGCTATGTGAGGCGCTAACAAGGAGTTAAATTTTTTTCAAAAAACCTACAGAAATATCGTCCCATCCCGAAGCACAGTTGGATTTAAGGCTACTAATTATGAGTCTAACTTCTTCCGGATCTGTTAAAAAAAGTGACATAGATTGAGCTGGACCAATTTGATTAGCTTCCCTGGCAAGTTGAAGGTCAGTTTTATTTAACTTTTTTAGGATAGTATTGGCCAGATGATTTCCAATTGATATAAAGAAATTATTGACTATGTTGAGAGATACTTTTGGTGTTTCAGCAATTTTACTCAATTCAACGGATGTATTTCTAGGTTGATTTAAAAAACATACGTCTTTTATTAACTTCCAAGTGTTTTTTGGATTCCCCAAGTTTTTTTGTAGTTCATTTTGATAATACTGCCTTTTTAACGACTTGATAATGTTTGTACATATATTCCTATATTTTTTATATACTTCTCTTATTTCATCATTTTCGGGTAATTTTTTAAGTCGTTTGTGAAGCCTATCTCTCTTCCTAATTGATCTTATTACCCCTGGAGTAATCCATGGTTTTAGTGGCTTGTTTCTTTTTGAAATATTGACAACTTTACTGTTAGCATTAATAACTTTCCTTAGAGTATTACTTAAAATATTTGTCGCTAAATTCACATTAAATTCGTTATATAACTCTACCCAATTTAACTGCGTTAAGTCTTTAATTTATGACTTATAAGAACTGTATAAGTACTTATACAGCTTTTATACAGCCAGAAATAACAGCCTCTAGTATAAAAACGAAATTCAATACAGCTCATATACAACTTACAAGCTGGTTGGGAACGGTGTAAGAATATCCCCTACCGCATATCGTCGTACTAAGTGTCGTAAGCAGCAACAGAGAAAAAGAAAACAGAATATGGCAGCAGCGTCTTTCTAATAACAACTAAAAAATAAAAAAACGCGAAACTGATCAACCTGCCTGCTAATTGTGGCAAATATAGCATATATTTCACATTTACTTGTGGCTATTTGTACTAGAATACTACCTAGATATACTGCTGCCAATTAATACAATTATAAAAAGGAGAACATCATCATATCAATAATGGAAAAAATTTATAGTTTGATATTTTCTGACTTAAAAAAATGCACTTAATAGAAGAAAATTAATCAAAGAGTGAATAAGTTATAATTTACAGAAAAAAGTTAATTTATACACTGTAAAATAAAAATGCATTAAACAACCAAGTCGCCTCTTACGACTACCACGGGGTGATATGGGATAGTGGATAGTCTTAAACCGCCACTACATGACTGTGAAATAAAATGTTGCTTACAACTAGAATTTTTATAATTAGTGGTGTTGCTTCATTTATTTACTCAAACTTATTTGCACAAAAAATAAAATCGCACATACGGCGGACTTAATACCTTAAGGCATTCTCTCCCAGTCAACCATTAGGCAAAGCAGAGATAAAAATGTGGGAGGTAGTGCAGCAAAAATAAACTAATAATGAGAAAAAAAGGTAACGAAGTTCAAATAAACCAGAATATATATGTAAAGGGTATTCTATACATATATATTCTATGCTATATATTATATTCTATGTTTTAGACAATATTACCAAGCAAGTGATGAGCTTCTTGAAGTGATAGTTCAGCCTTATCCTTATCATTGACAGCTGCAGTTAATCTAGCACGAAGGCTCTCAATCTCTGTGTCTAGCTTTTCTATTTGCGTAGCTAGCTGTTGACATTCTTTCACTCTCATCTGAATATTTAAAATTTAATCATTATTATTATGTAGTAATAGGCAAGCAACTATAACCGATACACCCATATATATGTTGGTGCTGTATAATAGTTCTAGTCCACACTAAGTATACACTAAATTAGACTGTCTTTGCACCATTTCTCTAGTCTATTTTAATAATTTTAACTTCTAACAAAAAGTAAAAACCAATTTGCTATCCTTAGGGGTGGAATTTTTTCTCCAAATATGGGGCTCTACCCTTGAAGTATAGCCTATTTAATAAAAAAAAATCATCAAAATTGTTTCACAATCTGCGAAGATGTGTAAAATACATACAAAAAAAACATACACTCGAGTTAAGAACCTCCTCCTTTTTGAACTTGGTTAAAAAGTAATTAGAGGGGCCATCAACCACATCAGAAGGCAACTTGTTCCATATTTTTATGACTCTGTTGTTTCTTGTATGATGTTCCACATTAGTGTATGAACATATTATATGAGTTTATATTGTTAAGAAGTCTAGCTCAGTGGTTAAAATATTTGACAGATCTACAACCATTTACTACATATTTCATTCTTCTTTTAAGGCTACTAAACATTAATAAAGTGTCAAAATGTGGACCCTGATGATATGGTCACTTCACATGCTATGATCACAATGTTTTTCTGTAGGATAACATTTTTAATAAAGAAAACTTCCAGAGAACCAGGATTACTGACATAGCCTCAGCCTTGTAAACCAAATCTGCAACAGATGTAACTACTGTTGGAGTAGACATGTTAGGCAGTGGAGACTGTGCTTAGGCACATATAATGTGGGAAACCTGTTGGAGGTATGATCTGTGCAAAGTTGGTAGTAGCAAAAGAATGGTTCTAAACAGAAACCAGACTAAATGATGTGCCTATGTGCAGCGATAGACTACTAGGTGACGACATATTGATGATGATGATGATGAAATATTATTAATGCATACCTCATACATAACTTTGATTTGTTCATTATTCATATATTCTTGCCTTGAATCCAAATGATTTATACCATTGTGATGACCTGAAAAAGTAATAAGTTAGGGTTTCTAAAAGTTAAAGTTAGGTGCACAATAGCATATAAGACTGAATTACAGTAAAAGCTCCTTAGTTGCGGTTGCATTATTCCCAGTTTTAGTATTTGCAGTCGAAAAAATTAAGACCACTTTGTATACTCGCAGCCAAAAATTTTATTATTTGCAGATATGTAACTTACGATTATACATATACAGTGGAATCTGTTTATAATGACATCGAAGGGTAATAACAAACAGTGGACGTCATATAAAGCATTTTGTAGAAAATAAACAATCTCCAGTTTTTGTTAGTATGTATTTATTTTAATATAGAAAAATCTTTAATTAAAGTAACTTAAATACTTAATAATAAATTCTTGTTTTTAAAATTATTGAGATTGTCGAGTGACCTACCCCAAATTCCCTTGTGAGAGATGAGTTGGATTCTCCATTTTCTAAACTGGACGTGCACTGATGTTGCAATTTCATTTTTTTCACAAATCACTAACAAACAATGACCTTCAACAATCAATTACCCCCTGAGACACAAAACAAAAAAAAAAGCCATGCACGCGCCGAACGTCGTCGGGTATCAATTGACTCTCCTGAACACTGCCGCAGGTGTTAGGAATCATGTCATTCACTATAACCGGACACAATTTAGTAAAAATGGGTCACAATAAGCGAAGTCATTATATCCGACTTTATTATAAAAAAAATTATATGAAAACCAAACTTCGCTGTGTAATTACGTCATAATAAGCGGTTGGTCAATATAAGCGGAGTCATAATAAACAGATTGTACTGTAATTTAAAAAGAGATAACATTAATTTTTTTATAGATGTATGTATATTCATTGTTCAATATTCAAGGTTTTTACCAATTACATATCAAAACAAACAAGTAGGCATCAAAATACATACAAAAGAAATTAAATATTATTGGTATTAAGTATTGAATTGATAAAAATGTTAAAATGGCTCACCTGAATACCAAGTGGAATCAAAAGGCCTTTGAAGGCGTCAAAACAAAAAAAAAAATACTAAATATTTTAGATCAAATGATTCAAATTGGGTGACATTAAAGTAAATTGTCTGCTGTATGCTGATGATGCAGTGCTTATTGCACAATCAGAGGAAGAACTGCAGGCATTAGTCACATGTATGAAAGAGGAATGTGAAATTAAAGGTCTCCTTTTGAATGCTAATAAAACTAAGGTTCTGGTATTTGTAAGGGACAAAGAGAGAACGAAGTGTAAAATATGGGTATATCAGGAATGTCTAGAACAGGTAAATGAAATTGTATACTTGGGGAGTGCCTTCAGCCGGGATGGAAGATGTGGACAGGCGTGTCGCTGCCGGGAACAAAGTCAATGATGCCCTGACTACGTTAGTCAAAAGGCAACGCATAGTGAAGAGTGCACGCCTTGCAATACATAACCCAGTGTTGGTACCAACTTTGTTATATGGCAGCGAAACCTGGGTATGCCAGAAGAAGCATAAAAGTAAGTTGAATGCAGTGGAGATGCGATCTCTTCGTAAAATGTGCGGCGTTACCAAGGCCGACCGAAACGAAAAGATTCACAATATGGCAGGTTTGAAAGATGACCTTATCACAAAAATTGACAAGGGCGTGTTTCGATGGTTTGGGCACGTTGAGCAAATGAGTGAAGACCGAATGGTGAAGCAAATATATAGCGCGAAAGTAAATATTAAATATTAAAGTAAATAAAAAAGTGTCGAGGTAGACTGAGACTAACTTTCGAAGACCATGTGAGCAAACTGCTCGAAGAGGGGAGGGTCAAGAGTACTCGGATACCTAGACGTGCATGTATGAAGAAGATAATGAATCTGAAAGAAGCAAAAGAGGTATGTAAGGATCATGACACTTGGCGATCTGTTCTCTCTGGCTACCCCGTCAGGAATTGTGCGTGAAGATAAGTACGTAAGTAAGTAAAGATATTTTGATTCTTGCATTATGAAACTTTACCTGTGTTCAAACTCTGTAATACACTTTCATAGAAATTGCTACATAAAGTGACATAAATAAAATAAATAGAAATAACACACCTCTATAATCTTGATGAAAAAAATGATTTTGTGCATCACCAGCGCCGTACGGACTGAATGTCATCATTTTAACAGGTTCATCGTGATGGGCTTGCAAAATGTGATGATTTTTCGGAGTTTCACAATATGCTTTTGGGGAGTCTGAAGAAGCTTCTTTTAGATGATTTAGTGATTCAATATATGTTGGAGGTAGAACTGATCTTGGCTGTAACTGGGCTACAAGTATTAAAGAGTTATTAAACTTATTAAAGCTTTAAGAAAACATCAGTGTTGGGAAAATCTAAAAAAAAAAAAATTATATTACCTCCGTTTGTGTGTGTAGCGTCTAATGTAAAATTTTCACTACTATTTACAGAACTTCCTTCATCATCGTCCAATAAATCATCAAAAGCATTTGCAAGCTTGTCTTTCAACTAAAATGTAAGAACAAAGTTTATTTAAAGTTATGTTATCGAGAGTATAGTAGTATGCTTTGTAATTTACCTCTTCATTACGACGCTTTTGGTCTTCAAGCTCCTCTTGTTCCTCAAGTCTATCTTGAACACTGTTGTTTATATGAATACTCGCGGCACCTTGAAATAAACTCGCTCCAGGACCTTCCATAACTCTGTTAATCAAAACTAATTCTCAGTGATAAAGATATTAAGTAAATGTTCAACTAATAATATAGTTAATAAAAACAGATGTAAGCAAGTAAGTTTTATAGTTTGTTTTGGGTTCGTTTCGTTTCGTTCACTTTGGTTCAGTTTACATCACAGAGTACATTATATATAGGGAATATATAGGGATGGTTTACATACAACTTTATAAGTTTATAATTTGTGGTCACAGAACACCAAAGAGTATAGTAACTGTCCTATACAGGAACAGAACACTATTACTCCTACGGAGTGGTTTGTAGTTCAGCACATAGATAAATATATATGTAGCAAGCTAATTCAGCATATAAAAAGTACTCTGTGTGGTTCAGTTGTTCCAAGTTGACAGGACAGTTGTATCAGTCACAAACTTTCTTTATATGTATAACTGGCTTTATGGCTGTATGGCTCGAGGTTCCAGCCCTTCTGAGCCTGAAGTTACAATGTATAATTATCCTTGATAGTACACTGCTTTATTGATTGCAATATATTGATCCGTAAAGCCGCGTCTTTACTTTTACAGTTTTGTTGCCAACACAACAGTTGCCAACAAATGTTTCTATCAACTAGGAGTGGGCGATACAAAACGTATATAGTTATTAAAAAGGACAGAGGCAAACTCCTGCTTAAGCCGGCTTCTTGATCCAATCCGGCACTCGCGCAACAGCGGACTTCGCAACTTCCTAAGACACCTACGTTGGGTTCGGGAACAACGTATGTGAACCCCGCAACGGAGTAACACACAAGGGCGTCGACCGCTTCCTTTTTCTTCAAATAGGTTCAGGCGGGGATTACGGGTCTTCCGAGGTCGTCCCGGTCCCAACGCCTTAATTCTTCAATATGTGCCGCTTCGGCGACACCGGAAGGACTGTACTTATTTTTAAAGGTGAAGGATCCCTTGGGAATAAAACAGTAATTATCTTCAAACCGCTCCGTGAGAGAGTAATTACTTTCCCTATCACTTCCCTATATGCTTTTCTTTCTTGATTATATTATATACTGGTAGCTGGTCTCGAACGATTTGCATTTTTATCCTGTCTTCCGCATATATGCTTCTGTTGCATACTGCAGGTCTCGGGCCTCGGGGCTAACCCCATTGACCGGAATCTCCTCGCGGTGCATAACTATGCACCGGTCGTGGGAGCCGTTGAGGCATTGTTGAGTGAAGCAGCGACACGAGTTTGAGTTCCCGGTCGCTGTAAGTCGGTTTAAAATTTTCTTGCTAAAATTTTTTCAGGAGGCGGGTAATATGGCCTGCACCTGAAAAAGTGGCATAATATGGCCTTTTTCCTGAAAAAGGCGCCTAATACGGCCTAAGCCTGAAAAAGACGCCTAATTCGGTCTGTGGTTATCTGGTTAATTTTCGTCAAAGTCAATGTGGCCGGCGGCTAATGCGGCCGGGCGTCTGAGTTGGCCTGTCTGCGGCATTGCGGGTTATTACTCGACTCTCTAATCTCTATAGAGAGGTGTTATCTTGGCAGAGGTCGCCCGTCCGGTGGTCGAGCATGTAGGGGTGCGAAATTTTGAAGTGTTCATGTGGCCTGTTATCAGCGCGGTCGAACATACCGCGCGCTAATCGGGCCACGAATTCCTTTATGGTTTCTATCTTTAGGTTCGCCGCGATGACGTCGTTCCGGACGTAGCGACCTGCACCGACGATGGTTCGTAGACATAGGTTCTGCTGAACCTGCAGCCGCTGCCTCTGCCGTTCACTCAGGAGTGCGTACCAGGCCGGCGCGGCGTAGGTGATCTTCGTCCTTATGTATAGTTTGTAGATTTTGATTTTGGTTTTCAGTGGTAGTTTCAATGCCAGGACTGGACGGAGCATCGCCCGCGCACATCTGGCATTGCGGACGACGATGTCGACGTGCGCGGTCATGCGCAACATCCTGTCAATCCGGCACCCAAGGTAGGTCACGGCCTTCTCGTACGCAATCTCCTGGCCTCTAAGCGTCAACGGGGGCGGGAAGTTCCGGTAGCGGCGGGTGAGGAGGGCAGCCGTTTTCCTAACATTCACAGCCATCCTCCACTCATCCAGCCACGATGGCAGCAGGTCCAGCAGGCGCTGCATCTTGGCGACGGCGAGATGGGAGCTTCTGGACGAGGTGAAGTAGGCGCTGTCGTCCGCATATAACGCCAGCTCCACGTCGTCCTCCCATTCGCGAAGGTGTCCAGCCAGTGTAGGGATGTCATTTGTATAAGCCGCGTACAGGATCGTTGAAAGACAGCTGCCCTGTGGTACGCCAGCTCTTATGGGTTTTACTGCGGGTTCGGCATCTTCGACACAGACGTAGAAGCTCCGGTCGGCTAGAAACGACGCCACTAGCCGCAGCATAGCCGGAGGGATACTCGTCTGTAGTTCCATCTTATAGAGTAAACCAGAGTGCCACACCCTGTCGAACGTCTTCTCGATATCGAGGAAGACGCCCAACGATGTGCGATCCCGGTTGTATTCGGCCGACAAATGGTGCAGCACTCTGGTCAGCTGTGTTACTGCAGAGTGTCCGCTCCTGAATCCATCCGCCCGCAATTTAATACACGGGCGGATTCTTCTTAAGATGATACGTTCTAATAATTTGGCTATGTGCGGTAGCAGCGTTATCGGTCTGTAACTAGCTGCTCTACGCCTGTCCTTCCCGGGTTTCGGCAGAACTATCACCTTGCCTTTCTTCCATTCCTCCGGGAAGTGTGAAGTCCGCAGTATGCCATTGTAGAGTCGTCCTAGCTCTACAATGGCTCTATGGGGCAGCTGTCGGAGTGCAGCGTTCGTAATCCGGTCGTGCCCCGGCGCCTTCCTCGGTTGCAGGCGGGCAATCGTCCTCCGCATTTCAGCGGGGGAGATGAACCATTCTCCTGCAAGCGGTGGCGCGGGCGACGACAGGAACTCCTGTACGCGGCTCTCCTTTAGGGCATGAAGCTCCATGTACTCCACACTTGCTGGCATAAATTGCTCCTCGAAGTGCTCGACTAGGATATCCGCTCTGCCTTTGGCCTCGTAACAACGCCCGCCCGCGCTGTTGGTCAGCGGGCAGACGGGGGGTCTGGTCTTAGTTAGTTATCGGTTCAATTGATAGAGCGACGCTTCCTGATCTTCAGCCATCCATATGCGCCGCTCCCAGGCCCTTCCTCTGTAGGCCTGTATTGCAACCGACAGCTCATCCGTCAGTGCGTTCAGTCTGCATTTGATGCGTGGGCAGCGCGTGCGTGCCCAGAGCTTCCTCAACGCTCTTTTATGGTTTAGCTGCGCACGTAATTCTTGTGGCAGCTCTTCTCTACGATGTGTTAGAGGGACGATCGTAGAGACCGCGTTCTTGGATGTTCTGTGTTATTCTAGTAGCAGCGGCCTCTACGTCGTCCGCCGTGGTAATCAGTGTAGGTACTGGAGGCCTCTCCTGCAGGTGTTGCTGGTAGAGCCTCCAGTTAATCTTGGTAGTAAAAGCTCTGGGCAACGTAGTCACTGCCTTGAGGCCAAGGGTTATCAGAATCGAGAGGTGCTGTGAACTCAGCTCGTATAGCACCTCTACCACTACCGGGTAGTTGACGTTCCTAGCGAGCACGATGTCCAATACATCTGGACTTTTCCTGTGGTCGGTTGGAACGTGCGTTGGTTCTTTGGGACCTAAAATGTCGTAGTTATTGCGTTCTGCGTCATCGTAAAGTTCACGACCCGGCGGGTTGATCGTTCTTGATCCCCATGCCGGGTGTTTTGCGTTTAGGTCCCCCGCAATGATGATTGGTGCTGTGCCTTCCATGATCGTCCGGATGTCTGAGAGAGGACGACCTCTATGGCAATGCCAACCAGCCTCAGAATTGCGTCCGTGGTGGCAGAGTTGGCGGTTGGTTGTCTTGTAGTTGTTGTGGATGGTACTGGTCTCGGCTGGGTATAGGTGTCTTTCCTTAAGGTAGAGCGCGCTCTATGTGTAGAGCGGGCTCTATTTTCTGATAGAGCCCTTTCTGGCGCTCTACCTTCTGTAGCTGTCCTCTTGATAACCTGCGCTTGCGAGGCTATCGTTACTGCAGGTATCGGGGTAGAGGTTGCTGCCTGAGGAGGAGGCTGCACCTTCTTCTTCTTCTTCCCCCGCTTTTTCTTCTTAGGAGGTTGACGCTCTATAGCGTCATTAGCGGGGGGCTGTAGAGTCGCCCCGGTGGTTGCTATTGCAGGTTCCACCGTTTCAGGTACAGGTGGTGCAGGTGGTGCAGTTGCGGGTGGGGGGGGGGGGTTGCCTCCCTCTCCCCCTGATGGTTGCCCACCCATCCTCTTGGATCTCTACTCTCGGGCGACTCTGAGGGACTCTCTGCGGTGCTTCCGGCAGTAGACCCGGCAGAGTGATCCCGGAATTCTTCCGGGCAATACAAAAATGGGGTGAATCTAACACCCTTCCCGAACGGACGAGCGTTAGGTGGGTGTCCTAATTTTTTGTTTAGTATTTCGAAGTGCTTCGTCCAATCCGGGAGGCACTCCGCTACGATCGGTGGGTATCGTGCCTTCTCTTCCTATTGTTGGGGTTGAGGGGCTTCTTCGGTATTGCTGGCATCGCTGCCAGTTGGGCATAACTGGTTGACGGCCTTTGACCGTCGTCCTGTGTAAGGCCCGATGGATTGGTAGGTGCCGATGTTTGTCCGGTAGTCGCTATAGTAGCGTAGGATGTAGAGTCCCAACCGTAGGATTCCTCTCCTCCCTGCTCTAACTCGGTCGCCTCCATGCTTCTGCGGCCGGGTGAAGTGGGGGGGGGGTGGGGGTTGACTTCTGTGGTGATGGCGATTTGGGTGGAGATTTATGCGCCTGATTGCTTCTCTCCTGGTTGGTTCTCTTTCATCTTCCGATTCTGCTGAAGATGACGCTGATGATGACTGTCCGGATGTTAGGGGTGATCCGATGCACTGCCTTTTTTCGAAAAGCGATGCTTCGGTTTCCGGCGGTGTGTGCCTTCTTGCCGTTTTTCGGGCCCGTTGCGGTAGGGGCGT